TTCTGCAATATTAGAGGAAGTTCATATCAGAGCAAAAGTTATTGATTTGGTGTCAGAAGTCACTATTTTTCAGTCGTACATCAATACAACCAATAAAACTGTTGAAGCAAAATATGTTTTTCCTCTCACTGAAAACGCTGCTGTATGTGGATTTGAAGCTTTTATAAATGACAAACATGTAATAGGAGAAGTTAAAGAGAAAGAACAAGCCCACAAGGAATATAAAAAAGCAGTAAGCGAAGGTCATGGAGCTTATTTGATGGATGAAGAGAAATCTAATGTATTTTCTGTTAGTGTTGGTAACATTCCTCCTGCAGCTCGCGTAATCATTAAAATTAGTTATGTTGCTGAGCTTGAAACTACTAACGAACCTGACAGTAATGTTTTATTTACATTACCAGGAAGCATTGCTCAATGGGAGGAAAAATCTGTGTTGCTTTCAAGTTCTGCTACTCAAGAAGTTACGGAATCAACTTCTGTTTCAAATGAGAAAAAATCTTCAGTTATGATATCAATTGATATGCCGTTTGATATTCTCGATATCACTTCACCTACTCATAAAATTGTAATGAAAAAGACATCTACAAAGGCTTGTGTAAAACTGCAAAAGTCAATTAACCTGGATGGAAACAATTTTCGTTTGCTGATCGAAGTAGCTGAAATTCATGTTCCTCGTATTTGGATTGAAAAGGAAAATGAAGAAAGCAAAGATCAAGTGGCAATGGTGACTTTTTTTCCTGAATTTGAATTCGATGCAGTAGAGAATTTCAATTGCACAGTAATGTTGGATATGTCGAATTCCATGAAAGGATCTGCTGCATGTCATTCTAAGCATTTATGTTCATTGCTTATCGAAAATTTGCCAGATCAATGTGATTTTAATGTCATCTCATTTGGGTCATATTTCGAAGAGGTGTTCATTGGATTTGAAAATGTTTCAACTACTTCTAAAAAACAAGCAAAAGATTTTATTACATGTTGTAAACCATCTTTTGGAGGATCTGATCTTTTTTACATTCTTAATTCAGTCTTCCTACTTCAAAATAATTCATACAATAATGAGTTACATAATATATTCCTCTTTTCTGATGGTCATTTGTCTGAAGAGGAAAGACTTTTCAGGCTTTGTAAGGAAATTTCAAAAACCAGTCATTGTCAAACAAGAATTTTTACATTTGCTGTTGGAAATTCACCAGATAACCACACTCTACAGAGTTTATCTATATTAACTGGAGGGTCTCATGAACAATTCTTATCTTCGTCAAAGAGGACATGGAAAAGACAATTAAGCAATCAACTATTCAATGCTAAACAACCTGCATTAACTGATGTACATATTGATTGGTGCAACTATGATAACAAATCCGATGGTTTTCAAGATTCAACTGTTTTGCAGGTTCCAGTAAAAGTAAAATGTGTGTTCAGTGGATCTCAACTTGTCGCATACAGTTATGTTCCAAACTGTCTGAAAGCAACTCTTTGTGCTAATATTAATGGAAAAGAGTTCTCTACAATGGTAAATGCGAACGGATTATCAAAAATTACTGGAATGACATTGCACAGACTTGCAGCAAAAGCTGTGTTCAAGGAACATGACTGTGGTAGACTTGCTGATGATGCTTTGTGTGATCAGATGTTGAAAGAGGAAAGAAAGTCAATTATTATTTCAATGAGTATGAAATACTCAGTTGTTTCAAAATATACAAGCTTTGTAGCTATTGAGGAAAGAAAACCTGGAGAAGATTTAAGCATAACATGTAGACCATCTCTATCTAATCTTGTTGATGAATCTTTCATTGATATCATTTCTGAAGTAACATGGGGGGCTGAAGAGAAATCTGTGGAAGAAAATGTGGATGAACTACTGAAGAAGTCTTTGCAAATGCAATCAAGTTCTATACTGCAATCTCGGGATTTAGCTCTGGAAGCAAAAGCATTGCATAGCACATTGGAAGAAAAAGATCCACTGAGGAAGTTACGAATATGTGCGACGTTATGTAAATTGGATGTGAACAGCGATCAACTTGATGCATGGCTTGATTTGAAAACCATGTTGTTGAAAACTGATAAATCACTGAATTTTGAAGTGATGAACACGATCGCTAAATTTGACAATTCATCTCCCAGACATAATTTGTTGGATATTTTTAGTAGCTGTTTTCCTGAACACTGTTCAGTCCATCTCCAATCTATTCCTGAAATTTTTCAGCCACTTGCCATTGGAGGATACACTGAAATCTGTCATTTTTATGAAACTGTGGGAGAATGTTTTAGAGATTTTCCTCTTTTTTGGGAAGAGTTTCATGATGTTTGTTGTTGTGATGATAAGAGTTATAAGGATGTTTCTTTGGCATTGAAAGTCTTGATCAGAGAATTGAAGTTTATAAAAAAACCTCACAAAAAGAAAAAAAGGTACAAGCCCAAATTATGCCCATTTTCAATAGCCACCCCACCATCATCCCTACCTAGGCCTCTACAAGCTGTTCCACCACATCTAACACCAATACCAGCAAATTCATCTCTATTTGGATCAGCAAGATCAGGTATTTCACCATTACCACCACAGCAATCTTTTCTCTTTGCATCATCTGGTCCTCCGCCACATCCACCACCTGGATCTGACTTTACACCATTACCACCACCACTACCACCGAAACCATCTGTATTTGGATCAGCAATTCCACCACCACCACTACTACCTGGATCAGGTATTTCACCATTATCACCACAGCAATCACTTCTATTTGGATCATCTGTTCCGCCACCTCCACCACCTGAATATGACTTTCCACTACCACCAAAATCATCTCTATTTGGATCATCTGTTCCCCCACCACAACCACCTCCGCCACCTGGATCTGTCTTTCCACCATCACGACATCGACAACCACCAAAATCATCTCTATTTGGATCATCTGTTCCGCCACCTCCACCACCTGAATATGACTTTCCACTACCACCAAAATCATCTCTATTTGGATCATCTGTTCCCCCACCACGACCACCTCCGCCACCTGGATCTGACTTTCCACCATTACCACCACCACTACCACCAAAATCAGCTCTATTTGGATCATCTGTTCCCCCACCACAACCACCTGGATCTGCCTTTCCCCCATCACCACATCGACAACCACCAAAATCATCTCTATTTGGATCATCTGTTCCCCCACCACGACCACCTCCGCCACCACTACCACCAAAATCATCTCTAGTTGGATTAGATGTTCCCCCACCAAGGCCACCTACACCACCTGGATCTGCCTTTCCACCATCACCACCACAATCATCTTGTTTTGGATCAAGTCCTCCACAACCACCGCTTCCAAAATTTAGATCTGTCATCCTACCACAATTGCGAAGTTCTGGATTTGTATCAGCCACTCCAATATCGCAACAGTATCAAACTGAATCTGCCATACCACCTCAATATCATTTAAGCAATATAACTTCTTCATTTTATTCGATGACTGACCCACTAGTTCCATCGCAATCTTCAGTCCAATCAGCAGCAGGTTTTTCATTTGGTTTGGCCAGGTCTTTTGCATCGCGAAATTCAATGCGGTCAGTTCCTTCATTGGGATATTCGTCCACTTCCAGGCAATCAAACACCCCACTACCTACAAAAGCTGCGTGCATGGTACCAAATGCTGAACTCACTTCAGATTATAGTTTTGACACTAAACCATCATATCATCATTCTTCTGAGGTTGCTAGAAGTAATTTTTATGAAGAGTGTGAGGATTCATATTTGTTACCAAAACGAAAAATCTATTATCCAGAAAATCCGAACAATCTCAAGATATTGAAACCAAACAAATTTTTGGTGGAAGATCTAAATTTGACAATTCACATGAACCACAGGATATTTATGAGAGCTTGGAGGATCTTAAGTCACAACAATTAAAGACCAGTGGAAAAAGAAGAAACCCACCAGTAGTTCTTACAAGGTCTTCTCAAAGTTGTGAAGTTATGTTTGATTCACTTGAATGTGTTCAGACAGATACATCTACATTAAACTCTGAAAGTTCATCTGATATGTATGAAGATATAATATTGTTAAATCAACATTATGACCTGGTTATGGTAAGTTATTTTTATGAACTATTTTACTTGATTACCGATGAATATATCTAGACCTGCCGTGTTACTTCCCAATTATATCTATCTGCCTGAACTAACGCAGACAATATGCCAGGAATTTAATATTTTATGAAATGTCTGTACTATTTGCAATAATTTGTTGAATGGGTTGAAGAAATGTAAATTTAGCTTTGTTTTTTGACACAAAAAACACTTCATATTGAGTGTTCATTTCATTATTTGTTTGTTCATTCTTATTTCTATACAAATCGATTTATTGATGAGTAAAGCCATCCACATTTATGAAGTAATGCTGAAAGTGCATAAAATTGGTAATTCACATTTTATCAACAGATTGAGGACGAGGATGACGAATTAGAACAGTCTAGTGGATCCATCAGTGCTGCATTGGATGATGATTCTGAATGCACGGAATATGAGTGGAAAATGGTTAAAGCTATGATGAAACTCCTTAACCTCACAGTTAGTGAACTAATGGAAATTTTCAAATCTGGATTAAGTCCAGATGGCTTTTGGAAATTTCCTAGCAATGAAGCCATCATGTCTGAAGAGTTTTCTGAAATTGAAGTTAAACTATTGAAAATTTATCGAGAAATAGTCATTTCTGCTGGTGCGCTATCTTTTGGTAGCAAAGTTTTGTCCACAGTGTTAGATATGCTGTATACAGCGATTATCCTAAAAATTCTTAAATTTATTAATGAATCAAGTAAAGTGTATGACATGATAAAAGATGCTGAAAACTGGTTGAAATTAGCTGATGCGAAGCAACCATTTTTATATGAACGGCTAGAGTTAGGATCATCTTGGGAAATGGCTGCAAATGCAGTGATTGTCAAAGTGTCTGAGGCTGTGCTCAATTCTATCTCTGGTTAGATTAAATGGAGTGGAATTTTCAATGTATCTGCTCTAGTAGGTTTTGAGTAATACACATTTCCAAATATAGAAATCATGCTTTTAAAAATAATTTAGATTTTGAAGTTTATTTGCGCTGATTTTCATACACATAGATTGAATACTTACAATTGTAAAGATGATTTTGTTGTGAACTTTATCTATACATCTTTGTTCTATATCTATGTTATTTTGTCTATTGTATTTGCAATGTTGAGTCTATAAACTCATATTTCATTTTATACAAGTTATCTCAAATCAAAGTAGAACACAATCAAAGAGGAAAAAATTTGGTGATCAAGTTTTAGTATTTATGAACCTGGGGATACTTTCTAAGTATCTGAAATCGTTCATGGTCACGAAGACCTATGGATCGTTTTGGTATTACCGTATGTTGTTGTTTTCTTGTTTCTCATGAAAATTTCGCTTTTCTCTTCAAATGGACCAATTGCTTTGAAATTTTCAGTGGTTAAAAATTGTATTTGTTGCTAGAAAGCTATTACTTTTATTCAATTAAGAATTTCTGTGGGCCCCATGAATTTTTGTGTAATGCTGTCATCAAAATGAAAAATTGTGCACCCTGTGGCAGTTCCCCTTTCTGGTTGTCAGTTAAAGTCCGGAAGTGTATGTATCGGTACTGCTAAAGATATCATACTTGTATTACTTGGCCTTTGTGTCCATATATGTGAGCATTGCTTCCTTTTGTTATATACAGATGACTATTGTCATTTTTGAGAATAATCTATTTTTCAAAATATTTGATATATTCTAACAAATATGTAAACACAAAATACAGTGAGTAAAAAATGTTGACCTACATTCTATTTATTGCTTATGGCAGAAGAAATCTTACAACTATAGTTTCTATTCTCTCAAACTATTCTTTGGGTCAGTTTCTAATATTTTTCTGTGGTCAGTGATTTTGTTAATGTCTGCTAAAGAGTATTAACTTTTTTGAGATCAGTAACAATGTACAGTTTTGATTTTCACGTTTGATATTGATTTAATTCTTAATTGGTGATAGTGTTATTAGACTATAAGTCATTTTGTATTACTCAATTGCTATTCAGTTATTGTTCATTTCTGCGCTTTGATAATTTTTCACTTTTAATTTTATTATTAGCCAAGAGAATACCATGTTATTCTACAGGTTTTTAAATCCATTTCTATTCTCTTTCTTTAAGATATTCACATATCACTTCTATTCCTCTGTTTTTGTATACAGTTCTCTTTCTCTTGATGATTCTATAGTCAAGTTCCGGAAATGTTGAATTATATTATTCTTGTGTTCTTTGTGAAATATTATTTGTATCATATATTATATAAAAGTTTCTGTATGCTGTAGTTTATACTGTTGTTTGGGAAGTTGAGGTATTCTTTGCTAATTGAGTATTAAACTGCTCAGTCATAAACTTCCTATCATTATGTTTATGAAAAACAAAATTCAATGTTATTACTTAATATATTTCTTGTTGTGATTTAATTAGTATCTATTACTATTAAAATATTTTATCCATGTTGTTTTGTCTGTAATCAAGTTCCAATTGTTGGTAATATACTTTGATATTGTTTGAAAGTCTGCATTCTTCCATCAAGTTGACCAACAAATTATTTCATTAGAAAAATAACTCCACCTGAGTTGGCTATCTCTGAATCATGTTTGTGGTATTTTAAATTTTTTTTTCCTGATATTTGCGGGGGATATTAAATGATGATTCTTGTATATTCTAATTGCTGAACCTATTTGTTATATTCAGATTTTTATGTAAAATAATAATATATCAGGAAGGTATTATGGAGTTTGACTATTTATGGAATATTAGCTATCTGATATAGTAACCGAATCTTGCATGGCCTTACTTTGTGGATTAATATTAGCCAAGATATAAACTACTGCCTACATCATGGGAATAAATAGATTAGAGGTTAAGTATAAAGTCTTTGTCTTTAAATGTTTGAAAACTAGTTTTCTTATGTTTCATTGATAGCAATTATGTTGCATCTTTTTAATTATATAATTTTTAATTTATAATCCGAATTTCTTGAGTAAATGCTCAGCAGTGTGGCGCATTGAGCTACGCGTTAAATTTACGCTCGTTACCGCACCACTGATTACCCTGTGAACCCAGGTTTGCAGGTTCGAATCCTGTGGGGAAAAATTATGTAAGAGAGGATTGCTGGATTCCTTCTGGTTCACGGGATCCCATACACGACATGGACTGCGGTTCATGTGATCCCATACTCGACATGGACTGGTAACCGGACGAGAGGCAGTGTTCCACTGTGATTAAGCTATCTTATTGGTTTTTCTCTCCCGGGATAAATAAATAAATCTTATCCTTAATATGTGAATTGTTTGTTTTACAGGACTTTGAAGTGAAAAGTAAGCATATTTGTCATAAACTGAAGAAGAGCAATTGCAGATTGAAGTCTTGTAGTGAAAAAATGTGAGTCTGATATCCCCAAGAAAATCAAGCTCTAAATTTTTTTTTGATTGAGTGTATTGAAATTGTGGGGCCATTACCGTGTCAATGTTTTCAAGTTATAGTAAGATACAAAATCATTTGAAGGGTTTAGGATATATTTTAATACCTAATCTCGTCAATTTCCTATTAATATTCGATCGCAAAATGGATATTTTACAACTAAAACTATAAGAATTATTATAGTGAATGTGTCATATCATTCTGGTTTGTTTTGTGATTTTAGTGTATGCTGAAAGCTGTGACGACACATTTCTAAACCTACCGTAATTTGAAACATGGTTATAATAACCTTAAAGTTGCACTTGTGTTTTGAACTGAAAAAATAATTTTCCTATATTATTAGCATCACAAATTTGCCGATTATTATTTATCATTGGTTAGCATATCCCTCCACATGGCTATCTGATAGGTGATACTATAATATCGAAAGCACTCTAAAACCAACTTGAATATACTCTTTGTTGTTGTTTAGGAAAAATCTAGTACTGGATAGTACTGGATCTCTGCAGAACAGACATGAAAAGGAAATGAACCTCATTGATTCTAATAAAGGATGGTTGTATCATTTCACAGATAAAGATCCAAAGGTTTATAAATAAGTAATTTCCACCCATGATATTTATATATCGAAGACTAACTGAGAGACTTTGAATTTGTAAACTGAATAGGAAGGTATTTCTCAAGACCAGATTTCTAAATATAAATTATACATGATTTTGGAATATTTTATTGATTGTCAGGTACGACGACACTTCTGGTGTGTTGATGATGAATATGTCACAGTTTTCTTGACAGAAAGTGAATCATTGTTTTTCAAGGTAATGTGGATGAAGTTCATTGTTTAATATTCAGATACATCTGCCATATGTAATCTGAAAAGAAGAATAGGTATCGAATATTTAACATGCTATCTGAAAGTTTAATTAATGCAAATGGTATTTAAAATGAACTGAGAACATTGGGAATGTAATGTAAAGCATTAAAGTAGCATTCTGTTAGTTCTTTCAGTATAAAATAGTATTTTACATTTCATGATAGAGTGATGATATATGTTCTCACCTATTAAGAAAATTTCATTAGCAAGCATCAAATCAATCAAAGAGAGCAAGAAGTCCAAGTGCTTGTTCAAGCTGGTTCTATCCAACATGACTATTTTTGTGACTAGCAGTGATTCTGAAAAGTATAAAATGTAAGAGTTTATGATTATACCAATCATAATTTTGTTATTGTAAAAATCTAGGATTATTGTGAACATAAAATTACATATTAATTCTACTGATTTGTGAATTTACTTTTTGATAAATAAAATTGTAAAATTTAAAATACCTTAACCGGTGTTTCACTGTGGGATAATATTTTAGATGCATTTGATTTTTAAGTTGAAGTATATGATTTTTGTTAAGGATTCTGATGAACCATTGGTATAATATGCTTAAAGAGGCCCATTCTGCCGCAGTAAAACGGGAGAATACTGTGCTACCTCTTGGTATGTTGTGTGACTGTTATTACAAATAGTCTTAGTCAATGTATTATAAATGAGAAAACAGCAGATGCTTTTAAATATTAATCTTGTTGCTAACAAAAAAGTCAATAATTTTATATTTACTCTTTTGTTAATAATTAACTTTACCAGATTTTTGAAAATGAATCATTATATTGAGTATTTGCTTTCCAAGTGTCCAGCAATGCTATTTGTTTACTTAATATTGCCCATTTTGCTGACCATTAATTTTGATTATTATTAAAGATGTTTGTTAACATCTGCATACCCAAGAAATATCAAACTATCTGTTCATTTAATATTTTAATTTTAAATTATTTGATTCTATACATTGCAACTGTATCTATGTTTGAATATATATTTGGATATCTTGAAATAGCAATAGAAAGATTTACATGATTATTTACATGACTTACATATGATCGCTTTTGATTATAAACTGAAACAAACAATATGAACATTGTGCAAACATGAATTTGTGGTTGTGATTTATTTCATACCCGAACAGGATTGCTTTGTGATACAGTTTGTTGTTGATTCAAAAAAACTTATTTAAATACGTCTATCTTTCAGTGGTTGTCAAACTTTTTAATCCGTGCCCCCTTTTTGAAATTTGTCAAGTCTCGCTCCCCATATGAAAAATAGCTTACAATAGGCTACGAATAACAGATAGTAAGGCGAAAATATGTTATATCCAAAAAACATGTTGAAAGTGCATGTACGGAAAGTAAATAATGAAAAGTTTTGAAATGTAAATATCCAAAATAAGACGGGCAAGATCAAATCTAACAAATTAGCTTCACGCCCCCTCAAAAAAGTATCTACGCCCTCTTGTGGGGTGCAGCCCACCGTTTGAGAACCACTGATTTAGACAACACTAATCCCAGTTGCAAAAAAAAAACAGTTCTTAGGGATCATTTTTTACCTATTTGTTGTTTTCAGAACAAAAAAAACTCTCAAAACATGGAAGCATTTTCAAGAAACTTCAGTTTTCTCTGGAACTAGGGGATACGACGTATGAAGCAAAGAAACATTTGCGTGAACAGATCACTAGTAATGGAGGACAAATTTCCTATATTTTAAATGGAAATACTGATTATCTGATTGTGTGTGAGAGAAAAACTTCCACATCGAGTAAGTCCTACAAAATTCACAAGGCAAGAGAACTAGGAATACCCATTGTGAGAGAGATCTTCATAACAGAATGTATTGAAAACGATAAAATTGTTGATTTTCTGGATTACGTTCATGGAAAACCAATTGTTGAGAGTTATTCTGCTGGGAAAATATTGGTTTCCAAGGCAAAGCCGAAGGAGCCTTCTGAAAGATTCGAAGTAGAAAAAGTCATTAAATATAAAGTTGATGCTGGAGACTGCCCTGTTTTTCCAGATAATTTCCAAGTAGCCAAATACTCTATTCTCGCAAAAATTACTGAAGAAAGAACACCAAATGATATGTATTGTGTTGAAACACAGGTTGGGTTACACGATAACTGCAAAACAATATTTCGCGTCATGGTTTCCTATAAAAATGTCAGTGGTGTATCATTTTGTCATGTTTATCCTGTGCAAACTTCATCAGAGGTGGTTCAGTGTTATGAGTCCTTGGTAAAGCAGTTTATCGCTGATGGATTCAAGAAAGTCATTGGAATTCCTGGCGATGGGTTCTCTGGAATTGCTTCTGCTCCACTGAGTTTGCTTTTAAATGAAATGAAAATTTCATCTGGAATTATTCATCCTGAGGTCGCTCGATTGGTAGAATCTGCGTGGTTAGAATCTCTTTGTGAAATAATGACAAATTTTGGTGTTGAACCTTTTACTATACATCATGAACAAATTAGGAATGCAATGATTGTTCTGATGCAGATAAAAAATTCAATCAAAAGAAAAAGTTTTAAATTGGAATTATCAAATAAGTTTTACCAGTTTATTCCCCAAAGAGATGGTAGGAAGGAACTGATAGACAACATGCAAAAGATCACAAAAATGAGGGAATTATGCCAGCTTTTGAAAGACATAACCTTGTCCAATGAAACTTCTTGGATTTCTAAAGACTTCAATGATCGCCTGTCACAATATACCGCATTGAAGTGTGCTATAATGTGGATTGACTCGAAAGAAAAAGAATATAAACTCATCAAAGACTTACTTCCTGATAATATCGATGGAAAAGGATACAAAGTACAAAATATATTCAGAGTCAGTCGCTCTGTTGAAAACTCGCAGTTTAAATCAGATATTGGCAATACTAAACTTCTATTTCATGCATCCCATCCTCACAATTTTGTTGGTATTTTATCGAGAGGTTTAATGTTGCCACTCACACTGTCTAGTGAGTATGGAGTCTCAAGAAGTGATGAAGGAAACCTTGGCGCTGGAATTTATTTCTCAGATTCATTTGAAATGTCTTTGAAGTTTACAGCTCGAAGCCAAAGTCGTGGTTCCAGAATAATGCTTGTTAATGAAGTAGCACTGGGAAAAGTATTTTATACAAAGAATCCCATGACTGATTTGATAGTCGCGCCAGAAGGCCATCATAGTGTAAAAGGTACAGGTCTAACAAAATTTGATGATGTTGACGACATTGCATCTCATGCTTCAGAATACGCGATATATGATGCAAGGCAACAGAAGTTACGCTACCTTATTGAATTTACAACGACTGATGACATCATGACTATTTATGACAGAGTTCCAGTCCATTTACCTTTTAAACAAAAAGAGGATAAGCAGGTGAATGAAACAGTGGGTGATAATGAGAATTTTGAACCAAAAGTTGAGGAAGTTAGATATGGCCTGATCATGGAATCAAAAGATATTTCTGCAATATTAGAGGAAGTTCATATCAGAGCAAAAGTTATTGATTTGGTGTCAGAAGTCACTATTTTTCAGTCTTACATCAATATGACCAATAAAACTGTTGAAGCAAAATATGTTTTTCCTCTCACTGAAAACGCCGCTGTATGTGGATTTGAGGCTTTTATAAATGACAAACATGTAATAGGAGAAGTCAAAGAGAAAGAACAAGCTCAAAAGGAATATAAAAAAGCAGTAAGCGAAGGTCATGGAGCTTATTTGATGGATGAAGAGAAACCTAATGTATTTTCTGTTAGTGTTGGTAACATTCCTCCTGCAGCTCGCGTAATCATTAAAATTAGTTATGTTGCTGAGCTCGAAACTACTAACGAACCCGACAGTAATGTTTTGTTTACATTACCAGGAAGCATTGCTCAATGGGAGGAAAAATCTGTGTTGCTTTCAAGTTCTGCTACTCAAGAAGTTACGGAATCAACTTCTGTTTCAAATGAGAAAAAATCTTCAGTTATAATATCAATTGATATGCCGTTTGATATTCTGGATATTACTTCACCTACTCATAAAATTGTGACGAAAAAGACATCTACGAAGGCTTGTGTAAAACTGCAAAAGTCAATTCACCTGGATGGAAATAATTTTCATTTGCTGATCAAAGTAGCTGAAATTCATGTTCCTCGTATTTGGATTGAAAAAGAAAATGAAGAAAGCAAAGATCAAGTTGCAATGGTGACTTTTTTTCCTGAATTTGAATTTGATGCAGTAGAGAATTTCAATTGCACTGTAATGCTGGATATGTCGAATTCCATGGAAGGATCTGCGGCATCCCATTCCAAGCATTTGTGTTCATTGCTGATCGACAATTTGCCAGATCAATGTGATTTTAATGTCATCTCATTTGGGTCATATTTCGAAGAGACGTTCATTAGATATGAAAATGCTTCGACTACTTCTAAAAAACAAGCAAAAGATTTTATTACATGTTGTACACCATCTTTTGGAGGATCCGATCTTTTTTACATTCTTAATTCAGTATTCCTACTTCAAAATAATTCATGCAATAATGAGTTACATAATATATTCCTCTTTTCTGATGGTCATTTGTCTGAAGAGGAAAGACTGCTTGGGCTTTGTAAGGAAATTTCAAAAACCAGTCATTGTCAAACAAGAATTTTTACATTTGCTGTTGGAAATTCACCAGATAATCACACTCTACAGAGTTTATCTATATTAACTGGAGGTTCACATGAACAATTCTTATCTTCATCAAAGAGGACATGGAAAAGACAATTAAACAATCAACTATTCAATGCTAAACAACCTGCATTAACTGATGTACATATTGATTGGTGCAACTATGATAAGGAATTCGATGGTTTTCAAGATCCAACTGTTTTGCAGGTTCCAGAAAAAGTAAAATGTTTGTTCAGTGGATCTCAACTTGTCGCATACAGTTATGTTCCAAACTGTCTAAAAGCAACTCTGAGTGCTAATATTAATGGAAAAGAGTTTTCTACAATGGTAAATGCAAACGAATTATGCAAAATCACTGGAATGACATTGCACAGACTTGCAGCAAAAGCTGTGTTCAAGGAACATGATTGTGGTAGACTTGCTGATGATGCTTTGTGTGATCAGATGTTGAAAGAGGAAAGAAAGTCAATTATTATTTCATTGAGTGTTAAATACTCGGTTGTTTCAAAATATACAAGCTTTGTTGCTATTGAGAAAAGAAAACCTGGAGAAGATTTAAGCATAACATGTGGACCATCTCTGTCTGATCTTGTTGATGAATCTTTTATTGATATCATTTCTGAAGTAACATGGGGGGCTGAAGAGAAGTCTGTGGAAGAAAATGTAGATGAACTACTGAAGAAGTCCTTGCAAATGCAATCAAGTTCTATACTGCAATCTCGGAATTTAGTTCTGGAAGCAAAAGCATTGCATAGCACATTGGAAGAAAAAGATCCCCTGAGGAAATTACGAATTTTTGCAACTTTATGTAAATTGAATGTGTTCGAGGATAATTTCAATGGATGGACTGAAATGAAGAATTTGTTGTTGACAAGAGGCAAAGTGTTGAATTTTGATGTGATAAATGCTATCACAAATGCTGAGGATTTGACTTTCCTACAAGATTTGTTTGTTGTATTCAAGAGTTGTTTTCCTGAACACTGGACAATCCAACTTAGTTCTGTTCCAAAAAAGTTTCAAGCACTTTCTGTTGGCGCTTTTTCCGAAATTGTTGGTTTTTGTGAAGATTTTCCAGACTGTTTTGAAAAGGTCTCCATATTCTGGGAAAAGTTTCGCAAGATCTCATGCCATGATGAAAAGGCAGATAAAAATCTTTATTTTAAAACAAAAGAATTGATCAGAACATTCAAATCTTCCATTCTCCCGCTGCAACTATCAGATATATCTGAATATATTGAAAAAGAGAAGACTGTCGTTGGGAGACTGTGTGCAAAATCAAGGCGTAGTTCTTTCCTGCACAGGCCTCATAAAACTTCTTTGATGTCTGAATCAAGTGCTAACAAATCATCTGCACCAAAAGTACATTCTGATCAAACAGATCATTTCGGGGGTATTCCCACTGGAGTTGAAGGCACTGTTAGCGATGATATAAATAGGAATGTTGGTAAAGCTGTTATTTTTTCTCCACAGTCTCCATTGAAAACAGTTTCCGTTCGACGATCGAGATCTATGAAGAAGAGAGTTATTAGTAAATACACTCCAATGCGTAATGATTCAGAACTTAGTCCTACATCACCAGTTATCAGTGAGAAAGCACAATCTTCAGCTTTCCACAATATTTCTTTAAAGTCAGCTCAGTTTAAAGTTCAGCGAAGACCAATTGCATCTATAGATGACTGCTTGTGTCTGCCAGATGTGACTCAGACATCTTTTCAAGACCTCCATCATGACCTAAAATTGTTATCCAATTATGATGATCTTTTGTCTGCTGCTTCAAAGTCTGACGATGCACAGCAACAACTTAATTATGAAGACTTCTTTTCAGATCCATGTACTCAAGAAATTGAAAGTATCAGTGTGAGTGAATTTTATGGATTTCCAAGTCAGTTAGAGGTAAAAACGGACTCCATTGGAGTGTTGGAAAAAGAAGAATTAAAATCATCGTATAGTGAAACGATGCAATCCTCAAAATCTAGTTCTAATGGTAGCTGGTTATCTAGGTGCGATGATGAACATAAACAAGTTAATAATGTTTCACATGGAGTTCGTTATGTACCGGATTATTTATCTGAAGAGATGGAACCAGACGAAAATGAAGAATATTTTGAAGATTTTCTTTCTCCAATAAGCACAAGTTCGTTTTGTGATACATTTTATACTGATCTTGAGCATGATAAATATGCCGATGCATCCAACATTCTCGGAACAATAATGAAACGATTTAATCTCTCTGAGAGTAAATTAGTGGATGGTCTTGAACATTGTGCAACACTTGGTGGATTTTGGAGGTTTCCAGATGAAGAAACAATTTCTTCTAATGAGCTATCTCCAGCTGAATATCAAATGCTTTCATTATTTCGCAATGTTGTAATCTCGGCAGGTGCTCAATCTCTTGGCAGTCAAGTTTTATCATTAGTCACAGACATGTTGTTAACTGCAATTGTTTTGGAAATTCTTAAGCTTGTCGACGATGGAAATAACATGATTGTGAAGAATATGCTTGAGCGTGGCAAAAAATGGTTAAAATATGTCGATACATTAAACCCATCTCTGTATAAACGACTTGAATTAGGTTCGTCTTGGGAAATGGCAGCAAAGTTGGTGATCAATCAATTATCTGAGAAGCTGCTGGAAGTAACAGATATAGCAATGCAGTCCAAATAGTGAACGGAAAATTATTTTTGTGTAGATTGCAGGGTTACTTTTTATTATTTCGAAGTTCCCATTTTGTGCAAATTGGCTATGGACTCTTGTGATATGAATGGAGTACGGGATATTATTTTCGTTGCCCATATATTTTATTATTGGATAAATTGTAGAATTTTTAATGAAAGTACCAGCAATTTCTTTAATTTTGTCTTTCTTATATAGCATGATGTAATGTATCAGTATTTTAATTTAAATGCCATGTTTGGTGCCTTAATTAACACTGTTGTGCATATAGCTGTCTTCGTACTTTTTTCTAGATGAGGAGGGCTTTGTGTAAAGCTTGATCTTTCTGTCTGAGCCTTTTTATTATCTGCAAACGAGAACCTCAAGCTGCCACTGCCTCTCTGACCTATAACACTATTCGGTGCATCAAGGCCCGGATTACTAAACTATGATGCTAACATTAGGCCTGATTACAATCAATTACATGTTCATCAAAATCAGCCCAGCGAACCGGTTCGGTTAGGAGAAGTCAGTAGTCTCGGAGACCACTTAGCGCCCTCGATTACTGTACCCAGTGGCGCAGCCAGGGGGGGGGGGAACCCCCCCTTTTGAATTATTTTAAAAACAGAAAAAGTCGCCGATTACGCTTGCAATTGCTTTCTGCTGAAATCTCCGTATGTTTTCATCAAGGCGGTGTGTTATTTAGGCCGTAAACGCCTTCTCGTTGGTATTTATTCTCTCTAAATCACAAATTTGTGCCACGGGAACAATTATAATTATTTTATTTTTGTACTCGCACGGAATTGTGAAAACTGAAAAAGCGTGCAATTGCCTTCTGCTAAAATCGCCGATTGTTTTCATCAGTGTTGTATTTAGGCCGTAAACGCCTCTACGTCGGTATTTATTCTCTCTAGATCACAAATTTGTGCCACGATAAACACGATGATTATTTTATTTTTGTACTTTGCAAGGAATTGTGAATTCGGTGAGAGTTATTATACGTTCATCGGCGGCGAGGTTCTGAAGACAAATGAAGGAGTAAACCCGCGATCTAAATTTGACTGAAAATCGACAATATAAAATACTGAAAACAAAACCGTAAACAATAGGCTATGAGATTTGTTGAGTCCCGCGACAGTCTAAAAACGCCTTTCTACTCTAAAAACGCTTTTGAAAATCGCAAAATTTCGTGTGCCCACGGCACACATTATGTTTTCTCTCTGTTTAGGAACATACCGTCATTAAAATCGAAACACGGTTAATTGTGGGTGGGATCCATTACTTTAAAATTGTCGTCGAAAATTTTAGTATTATCATTAAATTAAACAAGGTTGAAAACGCGATTTTTTCCGTTAGTGATGATACATAAGATAATTAATCTGAAGTATATCCATCAATTTTTATTCTACTGAAATAAATTTTACTCCATGAGAATTTACAGCAGATTTACGGATTTTTCGAAAGCTTTTATCTTTAAAAATAATCGGAGTGGCAGCATTGCGATTGAACGAAGTCAATGTTACAAGCACATCTCAAATTTGTCGAATTCGCAAAATAGAAAAAATACGGATCAAAACAATATATAATAGGGCAGTTTACCACACATTTTTATGCGGAATTCCGTGGTGTTTTAGAGTGGCTCTTGTTTTGTCGGCGCAACCGCAGGTTAAATTGAAGACAATTAAATTAATAAAGCAGGACATTTCAAATATGCCCTTATCGGTCATGGATTGGTTACCTTGCGCAAGAGAAAAATCATTTTTCGTTAGAAAAGTCGGCTCTTTTAACAAGTGACGTAATCAAAATTAAAATACGTATCAAAATTAAATATCTCAGGCAGCTTATCTCATTGTTTTATGTCCACGGCAGTAATGTTATTATTTTGACGTAGAAAGTCGAGACCGCGAGTTGCGTTGGGGACAATAAAATTAATATATACGTAAAAGACATTTTAGAATCTCGTGGTTGTCATGAATTGAATATTTTACGCGTCAGAAGCTGAAAAGGCGGCTCTATTAACGAGCGCGTGATCGCGGTGACTGTTACGTTACAGACGGCATTAATAATTTCCCATTTTGAAACACCCCCCCCCCCCCTGAAAATCCTGGCTGCGCGCCTGACTGTACCGGTACATGTCTAAACCAACAAGATGAAAAACGTTTCAGGGTTTTAAGACTAAAGCAAATTTATTGAATTTATCTTCAATAAATTCAATACACGTTCTTGATTGAAGTTCTGTGAAGGTATTTGCAGAATATGGATAGGATAGGATAGGATTTACATATTTATCCCGGGGGAGAGGAAAGCCGATAAGACGGCTTATCCATATGGCGAACCACGGCCTCTCGTCCGGTTACCATTCCAAGTCGGGTATGGGATTAGTTTTTACTGTATTGTTTGTTTTTCGGAAGCATGGACTTGGTGGTGGAGGAAGCCGTAACCGACCAGCGGTTACGTGAACCACCCAACGACGGCGAGGAGTCCAGCAATCCTCTCGCACATAACCATCCCTGCATGGGATTCGAACCTGCGAACCCACGCAGAGTGATTAGAGGTGCGGTGGCGAGCGTATTCCTAACGCTTAGCCCGTTGAGCCACACCGCCGCGCCAATATGGGATATGATGAGGGGTTGCTTTCCCGTGGAAATTTGTCCATAATCTAAGAACAAAACGTCAAATTAATAAAAGGTAGACGAGTTAGATCATTTTGGCCGACCATTCAGCGTTCAACGTTGCGGAGTAGTGGCACCTTACGCCACACGACCCATTCAAAAAATTACGGTAGGCCTAGAGTTACCAGTAGTCTACTGGAAACCAAATTAAAACAGTTAGAATAGGATTTACCTATTTATCCCGGGGGAGAGGAAAGCCGATAAGACGGCTTATCCATATGGCAAACCACGGCCTTTCGTCCGGTTACCATTCCAAGTCGGGTATGGGATTAGTTATATTGTTTTGTTTTCGGAAGCATGGACTTGGTGGTGGAGGAAGCCGTAACCGACGAGCGGTTACGTGAACCACCCAACGACGGCGAGGAGTCCAGCAATCCTCTCGCACATAACCATCCCTGCATGGGATTCGAACCTGCGAACCCACGCAGAGTAATTAGAGGTGCGGTGGCGAGTGTATTACTAACGTTTAGCCACACCGCCGCGCCGTTACATTTTATCAACCAAACACTTTGTGTGAAGTGAGCTCATCATATGTAAACAGAAGCCGACACTGAAGCTTCGAATTTGTGTCGGTACCGGTATGCCTATGTATAGTAAGGGTACGGTACCGGTGCCAGCTAGGATGAGGTATGGCTGTATGGTGAAATCCCCAAAAAATTTTGAATGCAAACTGAAGTTTATCAACAGAAGTCGTACTGCGCTCAGTTTATATCAATAAATCTTTGGACATTAAGAATTGATTCTAAGTCCTCTTATTGACTCTTGAATGGACATCTTGTAATAACTGTTGCGCTGATGTTTCAATCAAGCATTTAGCCCAGTGATTCCCAAAGTGGGCGATATCACTTCGCTTCACTCAATGACATTAAACAACATGATGCGCAACTCCGGCATTTTTGTCCGAAGATCGTATTCGATAGCACGCTCCAATGCACATACTTGACGAGACGAAAACGAGCGGATGTGTGCTGTATTCAAGGCGTAGCACGAATGGTGTTCGTGCCTGCTTCGACAGTTGTTGTCGATTTTAATGATATTTTAGAAAGTTAAGGTAAAAAGAAATCGGAAAAAGGTAAGGTAAATACTATTGTGGTATATCACACCCGGGCATCGCACTGTTAAGTACATGTGGGAAAGCCAGCCTTTGTCAAATACTACGAAGTTATTAATTCAGTACGGTACGTAGTTGCCCATTTGCCAAATTACATATTTACTTACCCCTTATGCCTGGTTTCAAAAAGTTCATGCACCTCCAGTTAGATTTTTTTAATCAGTGAGGAATATTTACTCATTGTTGATTGCTGCTCATTGTAACATACTATTGCGCATTCACTTATATTTGCGTATTGAATCAAAGTGTTAACAAGTTCACCTAACATTTCCACTCATACCGGTCTATCTTGTATAGTCTGATCTCTCAAGTATTTGGAGCCGCGAATGCTTGTAATTTTCTGACTAAACCCTTTTAATAGTTGGTTTATATACCAAATTCAGTAAAATATGAGATATTGGATTTATTAGCTTTTCCATTCTAAATCATATAGACTGCTTATTTATTCTTAACGAAAATTAATAAATCTCCTCTCTTTCTTCAGATGTGAAAGTTGTGGACAAACCTGTCTAAGCATTGTGAGACTCCTGCAGCACAAGAGGCAATAGCAGAAATAGTAAGTATATCAATCAAGAAATTAAGCCGACATAAAGCAAAACTTTCAACTATTCGTCTAATCTTAATTTCCTATTATTTATTCACAGGACAACTATAGCAGAAGGGGAGATATCAGAAGTCTGGCGACATATCAGTGACAGTGTGATTCCAAGAAATATAATTAGAGTACTCCATAAATGTTTGCAATAGAAAAACAACCTATGGAGGCATGCAAAGACATTTGACCCTCCGGTAGAGTTGTGTATGGCCCCCACATCCTGCAGGGCTTGGGGAAAAGAACTAAAAATTCTAAAGCGTAAGATTGCATAAGCGGTCTTATTTGTAAAAAGGCACAAAACACGCCAGACATACTTAAAACAGCTTTGGAAAATGAGGATTACGGGTAACGCACTGCACCTGTGTTATATTTGGTTCATCAACTTTTGGTAGTACTATAGAAGAAATTACGGAAGGGGTATAATCATCATTCATGATAAAATACTATCATATATTTTTTGGACAACTTCAATCTAGACCAGGGATCTCAAACTCGCGGCCCCAGAAAACTTACAGTGCGGCCCTCGAACGCTTAACAATAATTGTAATAGTATTTTGGAAGTTTTTTTTTTTATCTAAATGTAATAGATTTTTCAAACCTTTTAAAGTGAGATTGATTATCCACACAGAAAACAGTTTACTGAACGTAGTTTTGGAATATTAATTTTTTTTTGTCCACATTTTGACCCAATTAAGAATACACATCAAGCTAGCAAAAGAATACTTGAATAAAACACTTGAGTGATTAAATTAAACGCAAAGTACATGAAGAAGTTGGCATTTTCGAAGAAAATGGGAGTTGCAATATTTCTGCTTTCCACAAAATTTTGAAGCACATTGTTTAATTTGTCATATTTCCATCAATACAATGAAAAAATACAATAGGCTCAGAGGTCAATATGACAAATTCGAAG